TAACGAGAATAAGTTATATCTCACTGAAATGGCAACTAATATTCAAATTCACTGAAGAAAAAAAATATCAAATTTCATGTTGATGAAAAATAATAATCGAAGAATAATATGGACCCAATATATTCAATGCTTTTTTTTTTCTTATTATTATTATTTTTTTTACAAACTTGTGCATAATGATAATCTATCAAGGTTTTAGCTTCGCCCGCTTCTAAGAATAGCCATTTTTTCACAGAAACATTATACCATTCTTTCCACTTTTCTAATATTATCATCAGCTCGGTATTGTGATAATGAGGGCCATTATCTGAAATAATAGTAATCCATTTGGGCATATGATCTAGGCTTTCGAGTATAGCATGAAGCGAGGACACGGTAAACTAAGTGTCTTGCTTGGTATCACCGCTCCAGTGATCAAATGCTTGAATATCAAGCTTACTTGTCTCGGCATTTTTGGTGTATATAAGGACAGAATGGAGGGTCCAGCTACGCTTACCAAAGAACTCAGGTTTTGTTTCTCGTGCACTTTGTGGGAGGATTCTTATTTTATAATCCACAATAAACAAAGCCCCATCTATATCAAGTCAAGCAAGTTCGACATTTAATTGTGCATTAAGGTATGTCTTTCATGCATGATGAGCTATAAAATAAATTAGTTGATTTTGATACTCAATTAAAGATTCATGAAACTCATCATCCATATTCGCCTTTAGGTTATCAAAAAAGGTAAATAAGTTGCTACAATTTTTGCAAATTTCGGGATGATTTAAATAGCAATTATCAAATGCGTGCTGGAGGCAATGACTAATACATAGTGAGTGTAAAGCAACGCCCATTGATGATACTTTTAAGTTGGTGGCAAAATCTTTATATAGATAACATCGTAAATTTTGAGCTATTCCATGCATATTTTCCTTTTTTTTTTTTTTTTTTAGGCGACGCCTATTTCTACCATGAAAATTTACTGGAACAGTAAATTTACATGGTGGAAATAGCCGTCTTCTTTTCTTTTTTATCAAAAGAAGTTTAGTTTATTTGCTATTGTTAAAATTAAATACAGTATTCAAAAGTAAAAATTAAAAAAAAACTATACCTTAAGTTCATTATCTTTAATTCTAGCATCAATTAATGTTTCGAGTTCTTCAAAAACCTCATACTCTAGCTCATTACATGTAGTACAAAGACTGCCTAAATTTTCTTTATACACAAACCTGTCAACTTCCAATCGAGTCATAAAGGTTGTGCGTTGCATACCATTGGGATATTCCTTGTGAAATTTATTCCATAAAGCTTTTTTATGATCTTGAAGATATAATATAGGCAAACCTGTCGATTTATCTGTTTATTTTTGCATGTTTTTGCGATTCTGAAATTGTATGATTCCCGACCTATTAATGTTAGTTTAAAATTATATAACTATTATTCAAATTTATATAGGACTTCTTGACATCAATAAACTTATAAATGGGTGATGCCAAAAGAAAACCAGACTTCAATCATATAAATTTATGATTGAAGTCTGGTTTTCCCTTGGCATCACAAAATAATACTTGCGCCTAAATTGGTTTTTAACTCCAAATAACTAAAATCGTTGGCAATTACTGATAGAATTCGTCTTTTTCCATCCTTTGTTTTTTTGTTATCCACTAGTGCTTTATTAAAGCATTGCCAAAAAATACGAGTTTTATTAGGAACATAACTTGGTGAGCTATTTAAGAATCCCAAATTATATAATTGTTGAAGTATAGTCCAATCATTTTTATGCAGTACATTTTTCGTCCATAATTGATACTGCGTTATAGAAATAAATAAACTTGAATTAGTATTTGTTTTATTTTGGAAGTTTAAACTTTACCTTTAATTCTTCAGGTGCCCATGGAGTTATATTTTGACAACCACTTGCACGAAGCATCGCACGCCAAGTACTTATTTCACAATCACTAAATTGGTAATCCGGAGGATAAATATCTCCAAGACTTGAATAAAGTTCGACGATATTAGTTTGACTTTCCTGCTATTTTAGAAATAAACTATGCCAATTTATATCTGCAAGCGTCCTTCGTTTTAAGTTGTAATCAAAAAGAAACTTCATAAGAGCATAATTAGACCAGTTTTTTGGTAAACAAGTAGGAACATAATGTTGGCGAATTAGTGATTGAACATCAGAATCATTGAGCCCAAAAAGTTGAACACCAGTATATTTTTGAATATTTAATTTTTGCCATACTTCATTTGGAGATAACCCTTCAATCCGGTTTTTAATTTCAAAGTCTTTATAAACCTCAACTGCACAAAAATCATCTTCTATCGTTGAAAAGTATAGAATGCTTGTTCTATTTACATTATGAAGAAGTGAAGACTTATATCCCGGTCTACCATGATTCCATTCAGCGTTTGAAGAAGATCCAATGCCAAAAACAAAAATTTTGTATTCACCGAGCAAAGAAAATATATGAACAAATGATACATCTGTTAATAGCTGTTCAATTATTGATTCGTCCGTCCATCCAAGTACTAAAAATTCGGAATAATGTGTTTAAGTATTGAAGATCTTTTTATATACTATAGAAATTGCTGTAGTTGGATCCAGTTTTATGCTAGAACAAGAGCCACTTTCACAATAAAATCTAGGTAAAAAAGAATTTTTAGAGTAGTTAATAATAACCATTATAAAAAATTCATGTTCATTTAAAATTATTTTTGTTTTTTGACCAATTTGAATAGGAAATTTTTTTTTTTTTTGCTTATAGTAGAAGACCGCCACCAGTATCACAAAAATGCACCATAATAAATATTTTCGTCTAATACCCCCTTTTCTATTAATATAGTGGAGAGTTTTGTCATTTTTTATGATCTTTAAGAACCAAACTTCACAGATTTGTACGTATATGATAAATCATTAGTATACTTATCCCCGAAATATTCTATAAAATTATGCTTAATTTGTGCCGATCTTATCCGGATCGGCAATTAAATGTTAAAATCGTAATCAGTTATTATTTTATTATTTATGCTAAAACCTTTAAAAAGAGGCTGGAAACAACACTTCAAGAATGGTCAACGCCTATCATTATATTCTGGACTTCATTTCAATGGCATTAAATACAACCATTTCGTTCGTTCTCTCTTCATATAATATAATAGCTCAACGTTAGCAAGGATCTAAAACTGAACTGAAAGCTTCTGGACTAATGTATCTCTATTTAAATAGTGAAGGATTGAAAACATTTTCTTTTCTTTTTGTTAGTTTATCATCTTCGTTTTTTTTTTATTGTTATTACAACATTGTCAGTAATGATAGACAAATAGTAATAATAAAAATATTTGTTCAAGCATCTCGCAATCAGTATTTTTGTTTATTGTAATTGCTTGAGTAATAAGTTAATCACTTTGAAGGAAATATGTGAGAATACTTCATATACATAGTTTAATCACAACGCGAAGAAATAAGTTAACAAATTGACAAAAAGGTCATTAAAGTTTACAAAGACCATCTTAGGCTTCAATATTAACATGATTCTATAAATAAATAAAATAAATTTGTTTCATTATGCGATAAGCTTCTTTCACAATTATCACAATTACCCAATGCTACACATTATTCGGTTCAACTTTTAATGATTTATTTTAAGTTTTCTAGCACTAGTGATTTATTATATCTGTTTATCATGTAATAGGTTGCATCACAACTACTTAATATTCATGCACTATTTGGTTTAATTTCTAATAATTTATTTAAATCTGTGAGTGATTCTTCGTATCTTTTATTAGACGATAGATTTTTATCACGAATATGTAACTGATTAACTTGTTTAATTGAAAAATTTAATAATAAATAGTTTGAGATTATTTGCATTATCATCGTTATATGATATTGACAATGAAAAGTGACCACTTTCAAATGATTTTTAAATGACTTTTATTGATTGCAAGCATTCTAAAAAAGTGTTTGGCGAACTAAAAAAATATAATTCCAGAAAGGGAAAATAATTCTGGAGCATAATATTAAATTCTAATGTAAAATCCCATTCTTTAAATTTATCCTTTTTAAAACCTTTAACTACAACCCCTTTAACCCAATTACCAACTTTCCTTTTTTTAACAAAATTTTCAAATAATGTAAATACAATACTAAAAGTATTAATAAAATGTAATTTAAGGCCAAAAAGCTTGATATAGATTGCTGAAGAAAAGATATAAACAAAGGGTATTGCTGTTGTTCTTTAATATTTGGTTATATTCGAAGTATCGAAAACGTTCAAAGCTGATTCAGATAAAGGTTCTATGTAGTAATTTGGTTTATTCTGGAGAGTATCGTATGTTTACAATATGAACTTTGTATTTGTTGAAGTTCGGATATGATAGATGATCTTTAACGGCGAAGAAGTAATTTGTGACTGTGAACTTTTAGCGTTATTATTCTGAAAGTCATCATCTGAACCAGTTTCTGGTTCAGTAAGCGCTTCAGATAATAACAATTCGTTCGATGGAGACATCAATATTTTGATCTGTACCAGAAATTGGTATAATAACTTCAATAGTAATAGATTGTGATACCTTATTTTCAGTATTTAGCATTGAAAAATGGCGTGCCAATGCTCTAATCATTTCATCAAATATGGATCTCTCCCATGCAGATGTAAGAAGCATCGAACGAAATGGTGATAATTTATGCTGATTTTGTAATAATTTTTTACATGATATCGTGGTGCTTCACATTGAGTATATTCTTGTAAACTGGAAATATAGATTTAGGTCGTGAATATGTGTGATGTGGTGATAATGATCGTGCGTATATGTTGCGATATTGCTTGAATTGTTGACTTATCAGATAACAAATGATTATGATAATGCAGTGTTTTATCGTTCGTTGCATAATGATAGCAATGATGATGGTGTGGTTGGATTTGTGCTGGTAGAGGAATATTTTTATTCATTATACGGTGGTTGTATGCTATCCAAAAGAATATGCTGTCCTGATACAAATGCATATATTGCATTCAAAGAACTGTCTAAAGAAACAAATAATAAATATAAAAGGATAAGAGAGCAATACGAAAGGATAAATACAATATTTTTATATCAATTTTAAAAATTTTTTATTTATACTTTTCTGCCAACTTTCGTAATTTAAATAATATAATTTATGTGCATTAATAAATCAAATTATCATCATCATAAGTAGTTAACGAATTAGTTAACGTTAACAATTCAATATAAGGATTAAATTTTAAAAGATAATTGAGATACAGATGTGATTTTAGAAAGACGCTTAACACCAAATATCGATATATAGTCTTTTAAAATCTATGATCCCTGACAAACCGACTTTTAAATTATGACGAATGCAATGAAATTAGATAGTCAACAATTCAGAGCAACCAATTAAGAACGATATAACCATTGACATCAGTAGTAATAATGATTTTTTATTACATTTCAATACTCTATGTAGTTCAATAAATTTATGTATTTATTATATCTGTAGTAAAAGGCATAATATGTTCGGGTTTGATATGTTGTAAATACCATTTTTTGAATTCTATATGTATCTATCCGTCTTATCTACTTATATGGGTTTTCTTCCCGATTTTTTTTTTTTTTGTTAAACGGCAAATTACAAGCCTCTATGAATCGGTTTGGCTCATTCAGTTTTAGTTCATTAATTTTAAATAACTGAACAATGTTCAATTCTATCCAATTTTGTCAGTTTAATTTAGTCACAGTTATATTCAGTAATAAAAACTGTTTTACAAAATTGTTACTACAAAAAAAGTAGTTACAATACTCAAATATCAGGCAAGAAATCAATTTCTACGTATTGGTCATCTCATTAAGCATGATACACCAACTTGATACATTTGAATTAAAATTTAATTACACAAAATTTTACAT